AGTCAGGGACCCATCTGTATTATGAATTTGTTAATGAAGCCTGAGTATATGGATAGGTGAATTTAAAATGTGCTCATTCTCATTTTTACCTGTTGTTATGTTTCACACAGTCAGAATTGTGTATAGTATTCATTTAATATTATTTATTTATATATCTTTAAAATATATTTTTATTGATTCAGAGAGGAAGGGAGATGGAGAGAGAGATAGAAACATTAATGATGAGAGAGAATCACTGATCGGCTGCCTCCTGCATGCCCCCCACTGGGATTGAGCTTGAAACCTGGGGATGTGCCTTGCCCGGGAATGGAACCATGACCTCCTGGTTTATAGGTCAATGCTCAACCACTAAGCCACACTGGCTGGACTATACTATTCATTTTAGATATGTTTCTTTGCTGTATAGGAAATGAAAGATAGGCAATAGATGATCATGGTAATAGCATCAAGATATGGTGACAAGATGAAGTATAGGATGTTGTCATGTTTTAGCTTAAGTTATTAAACAAAAGTTCTTTGTGTTTGTATCTTGAATCCTTTTTTTTTTTTTTTTACCATGAAACCATATTTGCTTGTAAATTTAATGCTAATCATCCATAGGAAATTGTCAGAGGAGTAGGAAAAGTTTCTAAGTATCTTAGTAAGAGTTTTAAAAAAATAAAGACCACTTTTAATGAGTGCTTTATTTAAATGTCATTGATAGCTTTAAAAAAGTCACTTATTTAATGTAAAATTGAGAATTGTTATTCTGTAGCCCGATAATTTTATAAATTTCTCTGATATTAAAAAACACTAGAATAAATTGTATTTTTGTACTCTTAAGCATCAGCCAGATAGGATTAGTATATGACTTAAAGAAGTTTTTGAAATTTCATGCCTCCAAATTATAGTAATTTCTTAGACTTCAGTGTAGCATCCAGACTCTTAATTATAAGGAAGCACAATGATTAATTTCAGTGATTGTGATTTGGTACACATGCACATTTAGATAGCTAGGAGTGGAATAGGAACTGAAGACAGTCTTGTTATAAATGTTAGGGTTCAAGGATAGTAGAATCACCCCAGATTTGCCTTGTTTTAGGATGCCTTTCCCATATGTGCTTTGTACAGGTAAATTTTAAGATATACATTTTGAAATTCTCAATGGCTTTACTTTACAGGAGAAGAAAAATCAAGGCATTTTAAGTGGGTGTTTGCTCCACATTACATTTTCTTATCCCATCAAAAGCTTTTGAAGAGGTGGTGAAAGCATTTTTTGATAATGGAAGCTATTCTAGTTCCTTTCTTTGTGGGCACTAAACCTGGATTTGTACCCAGAGATTTGAGAAATCATGCATATTTTCTTTTTTTAGTGACTCTAGGACACACTATAACAACATTGTACAGTAAACTGTTAGGGAAATTTTGACAATTATTTTGAAGCTTGAAACAGTCTTGAAAGAGTAAGAGCATTTTTTCCTTATCTAAGGAGAAAGTAAAGAACGTTATTAAGTACCTATGGAGTGCTAAGCATTGTGATAAACCCTTGAAGTTTTCCTTTAAAAAAATTTTTTTTTATTTTTCAATTAAAAGCGACATTCAATATTATATTAGTTTGAGGTGTACACCCCAGTGATTAGACATTATATAACTTACTAAGTGATCACCCCAATAAATATCTTACCCACCTAACATAACTATTATAATATTATTGACTATATTCCCTATGCTGTACTTTACATCCCCTTGACTGTCCTGTAACTACCAATTTGTACTCCTTAATCCCTTCACCTTTTTCACCCTTCTCTACAATCCCCCCTCCCATCTGGCATCCATCAAAACGTTCTCTGTATCTATGAGTCTATAACTGTTCTGCTTGTTTGTTTATTTTGTTTTTTAGAGTTAATTGTTAATTGATATATTTATTGCCATTTTATTCATATTTTTAATATATTTTTTCTTTCTTGTTTTCTTCTTAAAGAAGACTTCTTCTTCTTAAAATAGACCCATTTCATGTTATGTTGGCTTGGTGGTGATGAACTCTTTTAAAGTTTTCTTGTCTGGGAAGCTCTTTATGTGTCCTTGGATTCTAAATGATGGGTTTGCTTGGTAGAGTAATCTTGATTGTAGGCCTTTGCTTTTCATCACTTTGAATATTTCTTGCCACTTCCTTCTGGCCTGCATAGTTTCTGTTGAGAAATCAGCTGACAGTCTTACGGGAATTCCCTTGTTGGTAACTAAATGCTTTTCTCTTGCTGCCTTTAAGATGCTTTCTTTGTTTTGAACCTTTTGCATTTTAATTATGGTGTGTCTTGGTGTGGGCCTTTTTGGGTTCATCTTGTTTGGGACTCTGTGCTTTCTGGACTTTTATGTCTATTTCCTTCACTATGTTAAGCAAGTTTTTCTATCATTTTTTAAAATAGTTTTTTGATTTCTTACTCTTTTCCTTCTGGCACTCCATAATGTGAACGTTGGTATGCTTGAAGAGTTGTCCCAGAGGCTTCATACACTATCCTTGTTTTTTGGATTCTTTTTTCTTTTTGTTGTCCTGATTGGGTGTTTTTTGCTTCCTTATATTCCAAACTAGTGGCCCGGTGCACAGATTCATGCACATTGAAAGAGAATTAATTAGAAGAAATATTTTAGTATCGCTATTCACCCTTTCTCTATAATAGAAGTGTCAACCAAATTCACGATTGACAGTGACAGAGTGTGATTGGCACCAGCGAGAGCTTCACATGTATTGCGCTTGTGCGAGTCAATGTTTATTTTTAAATTGCCAGTGTGCATCATATGTACTGGATGGTTGGACGTACGTATGGTCGGCCACTTAGCCTTTTATATATATAGATAGCTGTTTTGATTCTCAGATTCATCAACTCTACTATTGATTCCCTTTAAAGTATTCTTCATTTCAGTTTGCATATCCTTCATTTCTGACTGGTTCTTTTTTGTGGTTTCCTTGTCCTTTTTTATTATGTTGAAGTTTTCACTGAGTTCATTGTTCATCCTTATAACCAGTGCTTTGAACTCTGCATCTAGTGGATTGCTTGTCTCCATTTTGTTTAGTTCTTTTTTGGAGTTTTGTTCTGTTCTTTCATTTGTGACATGTTTCTTTGTCTCCTCATTTTGGCAGCATCCTGGTGTTTGTTTCTGTGTATTAGAGTTGCTATGTCTCTCAGTCTTGGTTGAGTGGCCTAAAATGTAGTAGGTTTCTTGTAGGGTCCAGTGGCACAACCTCCCTAGTCACCCAAGCTGGGCATTTCAGGCCTGGGACACTTAGACATATGGGGCATGCCAAGGCCAAGGGCAGATGCTGCTTGTTTGAGAGATCTTAGGAAAAGTCTGTAGCCTGAGCCAAGATAGGCCATTGGTATGGAAAAGCCACTGGAAACAACTTGGGTGGGCCTGCAAGTTGGATGGGGTGGGGGTCTCATGGAAAATCACCAAGACAGGGCGAACAGTGTTAGCCAGGTTGATGGAGACTCAGATATGGCTCCCGGCTATTGGCTTTGTGTGAGAAGGGCTCAGAAAAGGAACAGTGGCCTCTGCCAGCACTTCTGTTTGAGAGAAAACCACCATCCCAGACCTCGCTTTGATGCCAGACAGTTCCTGGTGCCCTTCGAGCTACTGCCCCAGCAATGTAGCTCAGAGGGCTTGAGTCCGAGTAAGTCCATGTGCCAGCCCATTAAGAGGAAGTCCATTAAGAGCCCTCCTCGTCTCACACAATCGCAATCCCAGCTGGTTTTTACAGCCAGAAGTTGTGGGGACTTCTCTTCCTGGCACTGGAACCCTGGGCTCAGGGGCCTAGTTTGGGTCTGGGACCCCTTATTTCTCAGAGTGAACCTCTGCAGCTGAGATATCCCTCTTGATTTTTATCCGCCACATGTGGGACCGGCCTGTTCCACATCTCCATCCCTCCTACCAGTCTGGATGTGGCTTCTTCTATATATCCTTAGTTTTAGGACTTTTTCTGTTCAGCTGGATTTCAGACGGTTCTGAATGATAGTTATTCTATAGTTTATTTGTAATTTTGATGTGGTGGTGGGAGGATGCAAGTACTACATTTACTTACCCCACCATCTTGACTGGAAGCCCCTGAAGTTTTCTAATTTTATTACTTTTGCCAGCCCTTTGAATGTTATTAATACACAAAAAAGAGAAGCTAAGTTCCCCAGGCTCTTCTGTAGCTAATGATAACTGGAATATGTCAGAGTCCAGAATTATCTTCTTTCCATTGCTCATTTTCTCATGCAGTCCCTTGGATTTTTTTTAAAGATAAGCTTAAAATATTGTTTCTTGTTTTTTGTTTTGTTTTTTCAGGGAAGGAACAGTGAGAATGAATGCAAATGCATGTATAGTAGTGGGGGGAAGGATTAGGAGTAGAATTAGAGTTGGTGGGTTTGATGTATATCATGAGGAGACAGTTGAAAGGCAATTTATGGCAGTTTAAACTGGTAGAGGTTATGGCAAAAAGTAGCTGTTAAGTATAAATGGAAGTTATTAATATTACTCTGGTGATTCTATGAATTGTTACATAACTTAATAAAGTTCTTTCCATTTGTTGGAAAGATGGATATTATTTATATCAACAGAGACCATAGTAATAATTTAGATTTATAGCTTATGAATAAAATTATCAGAGTGCTCCTACATTATCTTATTTGGCAAGCATCTCCATTTTATAGATAGGAAAAACTCTTATGTAATAACTAGTGGCTCCTTTAATAAGCACTTAGGTATTCTAAAGAGTGCTGCATTCACCCTGGCCTTGTGCCTCTTGTGCACTGGAGGGTCGTGGGTTTGATCCCTGGTCCAGGTGTGTATGGGAGGCAGCTGATCAAGGAATCTTTCTCACTTCAATGTTTCTTTCTCTCCCTTCCCCCTTTTCAAAATAAAATAAAATAAAATAAAGAATGCTACATTGAGTATGTCTGAGGTAGAAGTGAAATAAATATATTGATTTCTTGGATAATTAAATGGAAGATGTGTGCATTATGTCAGGAAGGAAATGCATTTTAGGGTTTTGTCTTTTTCTTAAATGTTTGTATTTTTTATTTCTAGGCTGTTCGCTGCTACGAATCTCTAATCTTAAAAGCTGAAGGAAAAGTGGAGTCTGATTTCTTTTGTCAATTAGGTCACTTCAACCTCTTATTGGAAGATTATCCAAAAGGTAATTTTTCCCCTTGTTAATTACTGTTTGATTTATATATGTGTTTAAAATAATTGTGAAGTTTGTACCCTATCTTTATCAAGGGTACTACCAGTTTTACTTCTAAGAAATTGTAAGCTTATGAACATTCTAAACGAGAAAAAGAAAAAGAAAAAAAGCAGGATAGATGGAAATGTGAAGAATTCATGTAACTCCATGTAAATTATCTATAGACCGTTCAGTTAAACTTATAGCCACCTACATGTGCACTACCGTTTTGTTCTACCTTATGAAAGATTCCTGCCCATCAAAGGTTGTACCATTGTAGAAAGTGAGCCATTGGTAGACACTTTAGAAAAATAACACAAACTCAGCATTTCTCTTTTTTTATCCTGGCTATAAAATTTCCATTTTAGCTAGACAATATTTGAACAAAAATGTGATATGTAGCCATGTTATTTATTGTAAAGGTAAATAACACAGAGAGATGATCAGATATGAGCATTGGTTAAAACAAGAGTTTTATTCATTTGAAAATTTTTTTCCTATAAGAATTAAAGTGAGTTAAATAACTGGAGGTAGTCCCCCAAGATGTGTCCTTTTTATTTTACTAAACTGCTGATCCCCCAACCATTACTCACTTAGGAAGTTGAAAGCACCCCCAAATATTATCTCCCTCAATACCAACGACAAAATCTATAGCAAAAACTGCATCTTTATAAGCAAAAACATTTTAACCTTTGATCGTAGTAAACATCTTAATGTAGAGTGGTTGGATTTATTATGCTTGTTTCCACATACGTGTTTAGTGGGCAGAACAACTGGTAGGTTATTATAGGGCTAGAGTGAAGGATTGCTGGCATTTAGTGTTGATGTTTTATTATGCCACTTTTGTGTTAAGTCAAGTGAACATTTTCCTAATGAAAATGCAATTTTAGTTTGAGACAGGTGTAATGTATGAATTTTGGAGTTAGGCGTGCTTGCTTGCTTGCTTGCTTGTTTTTTATTATTTATTTATTTGTTTGTTATTTGTTTGTTTGTTTATTTATTTATTTATTTATTTATTTATAGCAGCTCATCTGTATTGTTTACCATTAGCTGCATTACCATTAGCAGATTATATATACATCCCAGGGCTTCTGTCTTCTAATCTATAAAATGAGGGGAGGAATTCCTAAAAATTTTATGATCTGCAGATGGTATACTTTGATTATCATTTCTGTTATAGATTTATTCATTAAAATATTTTTTCTGTCATTTTAGATGAATTTGAAGCAGAAGGAAAAAAAGCTTTGTAAAATTTTAACCTTTCTTGTTGATAACATGTATAGTCTAAAAACATTGCTATCACTTAATTAGGTCATTTAGCTTCTAGGAATTTATCCTGAAAAAGTAATTGGTCTAGGTTGGATTCCTCTAGAGCAGTGGTTCTCAATCTGTGGGTCACGACCCCTTTGGGGGGTCGAACGACCCCTTTCACAGGGGTCGCCTAAGACCATCGGAAAACACATCTATAATTACGTATTGTTTTTGTGATGAATCACTATGCTTTAATTATGTTCCATTTGTAACAATGAAATTGGGGGTCACCACAACATGAGGAACTGTATTAAAGGGTGGCAGCATTAGGAAGGTTGAGAACCACTGCTCTAGAGGGAGTTTACATACAGGATGTTTAGAAAGGAATGCCTTTAGGATCAACACCTGTGGAAGGTGGGGATGGAACTAAGATTGGACAGAGGGAGATAACTTCTGTGACAGCCTTGGCCTACTCCATCGGGAGCTCTGGAGCTAGAATAGATGACTAGGCCTTTATCTTCCATCCATTCGATAATGGATGTGGGCCAGCCTGGGAAGGACTGTGACTTCAGCAAGGAAGCTCTCTGCAGCTAAGGCAGTTCACTGCTAGAGGCTGTGTGCATGTAGGATTCCCAACAGTCCTTTCTTCAAGTGGGATTTGAGTGGTTTTTCATTGTCTTATCATATCTCCTCACTCCTGACCTCAAAGCTAACCCATTGACCTCAGCTGAACCAAACAGCTGATGGAGCTGTTAAACTGCCTTAAGCCATGGAGATGGTGCAGTGATTTCTCTTCTTTGGGTTGGAGAACCCTGGGCTGAAAGGCAAGCATATATATTTTTGTGAATATATGTGATGGAGCCTCGGAGCAGTGTAATTAATAGAATTATATGTAAATATCAAGTAAATATGTGTGGCACATTATATGAGAGGGTAATCACTAAGTTAGTTACTTAGAAAATCAAGTAGCAAATTACCTCAACATATACAGCAAAATCACAAAAAGATAGAAGCCACGAGGTAAGAGACTAGGGGGATGGATAGTAGGAGTTTTGGAAGTTAAAAAAAAATAGTTGAAGGAGATATAATAATTAATTATTGCTGATATTAGTATGAAAAACTAAAAAGTAGTTTTTTTCTGGTTTGTTTAAAAATAGTTTCTTCCTGGTTTGTGGTGAATTAGAAGCTTTCCCTGAAATTCCAGCCAGTGATAGATTTTCCTTCCTCAAGTAATTGGTCATTTGTTGCATTGTCTGTCACTTTTGGGCAAAATAGGTTTTCATTGTTTTAGTTCCTCAGTAGTTACAATTGGCGAGGACAAGTTACTTACATTCCAAGCGTTGTTAATGTGGGGAAGTCTTAAGTCAGAGTTGGCGCTCTCTCTCTTTTTTGTCTTTCTTGATTGGAATGACAGTACTCCATCTTGAGATATATATAGTATAAGAACAGAAAGTACATATTTTTTCAATAACTTTGACGTTGGTTTCTTTAAGAATTATCAACTTTTTGATTCTTGCATGGTTCACTTATTGCTGTGGCTGTTGGAAGTAAAGGTTGTGATTCTTTTAAGAATCTGCTCTTTGTTTAAGCTTCTTTCAGATAGTCATTGGGAATTAGTTTGTATAGCATATATGTTTGCGATACAATGCAAATTGACTTTTGAAATAAAAATGATATAAAAATCCAGAACATTGACGTATACTGACATAATATCCACAGAATGAATATTATGTATCTCTGAAAACTGATACAGTTTAAGGTGATTGTTTCATGTTTTCATTGCATTCACAGTTACTGCACCCTATGTTTCCATATAACTTCATAAATGTATTTTTTTTTAACCACTAATACCTTCATTCACTTTCTTTGCAATTTGAGAACCACCAATTTTCTTCAGTCTACTCGTGGCCTAGAGTTAGAAAATATAATTGAGAAATAACTGCAAGTAAGCACAATAGTGACCATACCGAGGTTGGTAGAAGCCTGTGTCCAGTCAACAAGCAAACGTTACAGTAGCTTTAAGAACCAGGGAGCTGGTGGCAGAACATATTGAAGGAACACAAAGAAGACACCTACTTGGTGTCTCTTGTGGTAAGCCAAATGTGAGACACAAAGACCTTGCGTATGTTATTTTAATAATGACAGAGAAGTATTAAATCTTAGATTTCAGTAGATGTATTAGTTTGACTTGAAGACCTCAGTGAAAATACTGACACAGGAGTAAACTTTTCTAATTTCCTGTTTGCTCCTCTCTATAATCTGAAATCTTTTCAGACTTGTGGAGAGAGGAACATGGGATCAAAGGTCTGTTGTGGTAGATGCTGTCCAGAGGTTTTTTCAAATGTTAATATATATTAATGCTATATATATAACGGAAGGTGTGCTTTAGACATAAATTTGAAAAGGTAGAAAGCTGACTAGAGAGCTAGGCACATCAGTCATTTATATACAATGAAACAGTTAATATAAGCTGTCTGAGATAGCATTTATCCCGAGGTATAAATACAGTTTTTCAGTTCAGCCACAGAAAAACAAAGAAATCTACTGACTTAATAACCTTAGGCAACCACAACCTGTTCTGGCCTAAAGATGGCAGTCAGTGCAACTGACAGATTTTATGTGTTGTTCTTTCCTTTCTTCCCTTTCATACCCATAGACTCAACCACTAGCAGCTAACCTGCCTATAGTGTTACACATTGGGCTAGGGATGAAAAGAGAAATGCTGAGTTCTGCCTGAAGTAAATGTATGGTCTAATATATAATATAGGAGTATAGATTGAATTTTAAATCCTTTTCTTTATTGCATTTATAGTGCATCTAACTGTGAAGAAGGCTCCCTTTTTCTGGCAAAGCTATCACCCTTAACCTACAGTGTGGTTTCTTTTCTTCCTTGTGCTGTCTGTATGGACTTGTCACTAGGCATGCTTTCTTTCTCTTCTTTTGACAATCTTAACTTAGAGCCATAATATTTCCAAGCATGTTCAAGTCTCTGTCACCTACTAAATCTTTATCCCTTTTTATTTCCTCACTCTGTTTCTATAGATCTCTATTTTATTTAATTCCAAATGAGTTGTAGTATGGCTTTGGATTTTTCTTTTTATTCTTCAGTTATACCGTATGCCCCCACCCCCCCTTTTTTAATCTTTACCCCATGACATGTTTTTTTAAATTGAGAGAGAGAGAGAGAGAGAGGAGAGAGAGATTGGTTGACATCTTTATGCCAAAAAGATGAACATTATTCAGATAAGTTACTTATTCAGATACGTTATGTTTTGGCTAATGCTTCTCTAATTTGAATATATTCAGAAAGTTCTCTATGTTATTCATATGTATTTAGGCGCTTGACTGATAGACTATGAAAACATTAGGAATGGAGTTTTAGAACATACTTATTTCCATTTTCTGCTATTATACTCTTTGAAAATCTTATTTGAAAATCTAAGAGTCATTTTTAAAAATTGAGGAATAATTGAAATATAACATTAGTTTCAGGTGTATAGCATTTGGTATTTGTATATATTGGGAAATGATCACAGAAAATATAGCTAACATCCATCACCATACATAGTTACAAAATTTTTTTTTCTTGCGATGAGAACATTTAAGATTTACTCTCTTAGCAACTTTCAAATATAGTTATGTTGTACATTACATCCCTATGACTTATTTATTGCTCATCAGTTTTTTAAAAAGTGATCTCTCTGCCAATTCTAATATGTATATATAACTTTTTGTTTGTCTTTTAACCTCCTCCTCACCAAGTTCTTAGATTGATAGGAACTACTTTAATTTTTTTTCTGAGCCCTTTATACCTTGAGGTAGATTTAAGGGTATAGGATATCCTATTTTGGAATTGAGTTGGAGTAAGATAATTCTGAGGTGGATTTCTTATTGATTGTATGAAAGGAAGCTTCACAGACAAAATAACTCTTTTGCCATTTGAGGTTTTTGAGCTCTTAGTCATTCTTGTAAGTTAAAGATCCCTTGTGAAAACAAATAACCTAGCATATTCTGGAGTAGCGTTGGGAAATCTTAATTCTCTTACTAGATTTGGTCTCCGTGGAAGGTCAAGTGATGAAAGAGATAGCCTAGATTCTGTTCATGTATAGGTCTGACATGTGACCATGGTTTTACAACTTTGAACTCTATATATTTGACAATGAGTGTGTGTGTGTGTGTGGGAAAAATTCTAAATTTTCTAAATTATTTCATCTTAACTCTGTCTGCTGGGAGGTGGGTTTGGTGGGAAGTTTGTTATAATGTTTCTTGGATTATTGATTTTGAAATAGGACATAATTGTGACTCATACTTACCTTTCTCCTTTCAGCATTATCTGCATACCAGAGGTACTACAGTTTACAATCTGACTACTGGAAGGTTAGTGCACATTTGCATGCCTCTTTCTCTGTGTTTTTTTTTGGGGGGGGGGGGGGGTAGGGAGAGGGATTGGAAAAGGAAAAATGAGTGTTCTTTTTGCTCTTTTGTATGAATCACTTTGTATTTTATTAAAAGAATTAGATTACTCTGACACAATCTTTTGGCAAAGATGACCGTAAGCATGAGAATTTATAATTTAAAAATATAGAAAGAGAGGGAGAGGGAGGGGGGAAGAGAGAGAGAGAGAGAGAGAGAGAGAGAGAGAGAGAGAAAGAGAAAGAGAAAGAGAGAAAGATCGTTGTGAGAAACATTGATCGGCTGCTGCATCTTGCACACACCCTGTGGGAATTGAGCACAGAACCTGGGCATGTGCCCTTACCGGGAATTGAACCAGCGACTTGGTGCATGGGACGATGCTCAACCAACTGAGTCACAACTGCCAGGGCATAAGTGTGAGAATTTAAAAGCAAGCAAGACCAAGTTGCAACAATATTCTTTATCAGGCTGAAAAGGGAAGGCATAATGGGACAGTTATAATGGAAATCTTTCTTGGTATATTCTGTCTATAATTGGAGTTTGGAGGACAATGGAACCTAACCATTTTTTAAAAGACCTACCTAAATGAAGAATTGTGCACAGCAATGACCATTTATTTTCTTAGTTTAAGCTGTGCATAAAGTCACTGGGCAGGTTAATCTTTTACATCATGTATACTTTTATGTATAAATTTATTGACCAGTGGGGTTTCTTTATCTGAATTGACATTTCAGATTTTTAAAATGCATTTTAGTAACATTTTTTTAATGTATTGAAAATGCCTGCTCTAGTCTGTGGCTTATCTTTCTTTTAAAAAGTTAATTGGAATATAATTTACATACCATAAAACTCAACTGTTTTAACTATGCAATTCAGTGACTTTTAGTAAATTTCCAGAGTTGTGCAACCATGCCCATCTCCTGGCAAGTACTAATCTACTTTCTGTACGTCTATTTTCAGGATATCCTATTTAATAATAGACAAACATGGTAATTGACTATACCTTCGCTACGCCTCCCATTGGCTAATCAGTGCGGTATGCAAATTAACCGCCAACAAAGATGGCGGCTAATTTGCATACTGCGGGCAGGGCGGGACAGAGCCATCCCGCCTACCCTGCTGCCATCCTGGGCGGGGGTGGGAGGGGGGCGGTGGTCCCCTGTCCGGGCCTGCTATCTGAGACCCGGGGTGGTGGGTGTTCATGTGCAACCCAACCCGGGCGGCGCCCCAACCCCTGGATCGGCCCTGCCGTGTGCGTGACCCGGGGAGGCGGGGCAGGCACTGAGGGATCGGGCCTGCCATCTGCCACCCGGGGAGCGGGCCTAAGCCAGCAGGTGGTTATCTCCCGAGGGGTCCCAGACTGTGAGAGGGCACAAGTGGGGCTGAGGGACCCCTCCCCCCCCCGCCACCACCCCGCCAGTGCCTCTAGTTTCATATAAATGTCATATAACGTGTGGTCTTTTGTGACTTGTTCTTTTCACTTAGCATATGTTTTCAGAGTTGATCCATTTATGGCACATATTAATACGTTATTCCTTTTTACTCTCTAATAATATTCCAATGTGTGGATGTGCCATCACTTCATGGGCACTTAAGTTGTTCCCACTTTTTGGTTATTGTGAATAATGCTACTGTGAGCATCTGTGTACAAGTTTTTGTGTGGATATATATATTTATATCTCTTAGGTAGATAATCAGGAGTGGAATTGCTGGGTTGCAGAATAAATCTATGTTTAAAATTTTTAGAAACTGTTTTCTAGAGTACTGTACCACTTTATAGTTTCACCAGCAATCGTTCCAATTTCTTCATATCCTTGTGAACACTTGTAATTTTTCAGTTTTTTTTAATATTTTTTTTTTTATTGATTTTGGAGACGAAGGGAGAGGGAGAGAGAGAGAGAGAGAGAGAGAGAGAGAGAGAGAGAGAGAGAGAAACATCAATGATGCGAGAGAATCAGCCATTGGCTGCCTCCTGCACACCTGGGCATATGCCCTGACCTCCTTGTTCCTAGGTCGATGCTCAACCACTGAGCACACTGGCCGGGCTGTTCAGTTTTTTAGTGTAGCCATCCTAGAAGATGTGAACTAGTATCTTATTATGTTTTTATTTTGCATTTTCCTAATGACTGATGATGTTGAATATCTTTTAATGAACACATTAGCTATTTATATATATTCTTTGGTTAAGTGCCTGTATAAACCCTTTGCCTATTTTTAAATTTGTTTGTTAAAAAATTAGTGCATTGTATGAGTGTATAAATAAGTGGCACAACATATCAATGGTTCTCTTTCTTTCTCCCTCTTTCCCTTCCTCTCTCTAAAATCAATTTTAAAAAATTAATGCATTGTAAGAGTTCTTTATGGTACACTCCTGTTACAATGAATCACTTATTGGATATGTAATTTGAATTTTTCTTAAGTCTGTGGCTTTTATAGTCACTTCTTGATGTTATATTTGATGGCTTGTATAGCTTGCTTTATTTTTTTAATTTAAAAAAAATATCTTTATTGATTTCAGAGAGGAAGGGAGAAGGGAGAGAGATAGAAACATCAATGGTGAGAGGGAATCATTGATTAGCTGCCTCCTGCATGTCCCCTACTGGGGATCAAGCCCACAACCTGGGCATGTGCCCTTGACCAGAATTGTACCTGGGAACCTTCAGTCCACAGGATGACGCTCTATCCACTGAACCAAACCAGCTAGGGCAACTTGTTTTATTCTTGATAGTATATTTAGAACTGCAAAAATGTTTAATTTTGATAACATCCAATTTTGCAACGTTTTCTTTTATTACTTATGCTTTTGGTATTGTACCTAGGAAATCTTTGCCTACCTCAAGGTCATGATGATTTATTATAGATTATTCAACCTGTTGCTTCAGTATTTTCCTTTACAGATGGCACCGCAATAAGTAGTAAAAGTGTCTTCTCGTGATGTTGTTAGTAATTCTTTGGTATAAAGACTCTTTGGTATAGAGAGTTCTTCATAAGTGGGATTGCTAGGTGGGAGCTTAATTGTTAAATACCACTCCTTTGGGAATATTTATTTCCCTTTGGTCTTAACCTGGAAAGTTTATGTCAGTGGGCTTTTTGCCAATCTGATAGGTCAGAAATGGTGTCTTATTGTTGTTTAAATTTGTATTTTCTTAGTTGTTAGTGAGGTTGTTTTTAAATTGAAGTTTGAAGACTATTTTGTAGTTCTTTTTCTTTGAAATATTTCTGTTGCTCATTTTTCTATTGGGCCATTGTTTTCTTTGTGTGTTTTATATGGCCATATTTTATGTACGAGTTATATTTTTTCCTGTGATATAAATCACAGATATTTGTCATTTGTCTTACTTTGCTTCTGTGTGTTTGTTTTTGCCCATGCAGAAATTTATTTCTTCGTAGTCAAATTTGTCAGTCTTTTCTTAAGTTGCATCTGCATTTTGAATCATAATACAGCTTTTTCCTCATTCATAGGTGTTAGAGAAATTCACCCATTTTTTTCATTTAGTATTTCAATGCTTTTCTTTTCTTTTCTTTTCTTTTTTTAATGCTTTTCATTTTTAATTTAAATCTGTGATCAGTTTGAGATGTATAGTGTGAGGAATTATGCCAACACAGTATTTTGTTTAAAAAAATCTATCTTTTCCTCCACTAATTTGAGATGTTGCCTTAATTGTATACTAAATTTTCATATGCAGTTTTGTATTTGGATTTTCTGGTCTATTTCCTTAGTCCTGTTCATTAATTTATATGCTACTTTACTTACAGAGGTTTTATATGTTTTAATATGTGGTAGTGCTAGGGCACCATTTCCCTATTGTTCTTTTTTTTTTCCTTTTTTTTAGAGTTTCTCTGGCTGTCCTTTAATGGCTTGTTTTTCCAAATATACTCTCTAATTAACTTTAGCCCACAAAAATATCAGGATTTTCTTTCCTCTGGCTTTTTTGAGCTATAATTTACAGTAGTTTACGTGTACAAATTTACTGCATTTCGGCAAATGTATGGGGTTGTGTAACCATTACCACAATTAAGATATAGAACATTTCCATCACTCAGTGTTCCCTTGTGCCCCTGTACAGTTGATTCCCACTTTTGACCCCTGATCTCGGGCAACCAGTTAGTTATCTGCTTTCTCTCCCTCTCTAATTTTTGCTTTTCCTGAACGTCACCCAACTTGATTCAAACGGCTGTATTCTTTGGCTTTGGATATTTTTCATTCATCTTGCCATTTTTGAGATTCATTCATATTGTATGTATTAATATTGTGTTTCTTTTATTGTTAAGTAGTATATAATACTTATACCACAATTAATTTTTTCTTTTATCAGTTGATAGATATTTGGGTTATGTCCACTTTTTGGTCAAATATGAATGAAGTAATGTGAACATTATTTGTCTTTGTGAGGGCATAGGTTTTTGTTTTTCTTGGTATATACACCTAGGATTTGGAAATTCTGGGTCATATTGTCCTCCGCATCCCTACCTGTTACCAGTTCAAGTGAGCTTCTTGGGATGTCACAAGAAGAGGAATTTTCTGAGGCTTGCATTAGAGAATGAATGATACGTATTTGCGTGGAATTAAATTCCCGGGTTTCCAAGGCCCCATCTCCCTCTGTCCCGCCAAGAAAAATGTCCCATGTTGTCTTTAGCCGGGCCAGGATGAAAGCCGTGGCCCAGAGTTTCCACTCCATATCTGCACAGTCCAGTCCAGCACCAGGCTAGTGTAGCTTGTGTTCCCAGCTGCAGTCCATGGCCTGTGGGGTCCACATGGTCCACATGACTATGGAGGGAACACAGGGAAGCAGGAGCAAAGCCAGAGGAACAAGACAGAGAATTCCTTTGTCTGGGAATTATGTATTTTCAAATTTCATGAGCTTGCAGTGGCTTCACACCCTCTAGCCAATTATCTTTGTTTTTGGTTAGACTGACAAGCAAGTACCTTCCCTGTATCATCCTGACTCACTGCTCATGCGCCC